TAGAGAACAATAAACACCAAGAAATAAAACCAGTTCCAAGTAGTGGGGAAAAACTCAGTTGATTTTGAACAATACCATATAAAACTCCCTAATGAGTGTCTAAGAATGTTCTTGCTTTTGAAGTTTTAAAAGGAATAACAACTTGAATGTTCTGGTACATAACAATGTGTTAGCTTATTACCTACTCTCAAGAACTCCAAGCCCTGTTTATTGAAATCTAGCAAATCTTAGATATTTTTCTTTGAATTTATATCAAGTTGCCTGTTGACTAACAAATACTATTTTTTTAACAATTAATAGCAAGATTTCTATACAAGGATGCCCACTTACATCTATTCAGCTTAGTACTGGAAGTCCTGGCCAGAGCAATCAGACAAGAGAAAGAAAGAAAGAAAGGACACTCAACCAGTAAAGAGGAAGTCAAACCATCACTGTTCACCAATGACATGATTGTATACCTAGAAAACCCTAAAGACCCATCCAATAAGCTCCTAGATCTGATAAAGGAATTCAATAAAGATTTAGGATACAAAATTAACATACCCAAATCAGTAGCACTGCTATACACCAACAACAAACCAAGAGAATCAAGAACTCAATCCGTTTTACAATAGCTGCAAGAATAAATACATACATACATACATACATACATACATACATAAAATACTTAGGAATATACCCAACCAAGGAGTTGAAAGACCTCTACAAGGAAAACTACAAAACACTGCTGAAAGAAATCATAGATGACACAAACAAATGGAAATACCTTTGCTCATGGATGGGTAGAATCGATATTGTGAAAATGACCATACTGCCAAAAGCAATCTACAGATTCAACGTGATTCCCATAAAAATACCATCATCATTGTAAATAGAATTAGAAAAAAAAAATCCTGAAATTCACATGGAACCAAAAAAGAGCCCACACAGCCAAAGCAATACTAAGCAAAAAGAACAAATCTAGAGGCGTCACATTACCCAACTTCACGCTATACTACAAGGGTATCGTTACCAATACAACATGGTACTGGTATAAAAATAGGAATGCAGACCAATGGAACAGAGCAGAGAAACCAGGTGTAAAGCCAAATACTTACAGCTAACTGATCTTTGACAAAGCATACAAAAACATAAAGTGGGGGAAGGACACCCTATTCAACAAAAGGTGCTTGGGATAATTGGCAAGCCACATGTAAAAGAATGAAACTGGATCCTCAACTCTCACTGTATACAAAGTCAACCCAAGATGCATCAAAGACTTAAATCTAAGACCTGAATCCATAAAAACCCTTCTAGGCATTAGCTTAGGCAAAGACTTCGTGATCAAGAACCCAAAAGCAAATGCAAAAAAAAAAAGCCCAAATAAATAAATGGAATCTAATTAAACTAAAAAGCTTCTGCACAGGCGAAGAAAAATCAGCAGAGTAAACAGACAACCCGTAGAGTGGGAGAAAATATTCACAAACTATGCATCCACCAAAGGACTAACATCCAGAATCTATAAGGAACTCAAACAAATCAGCAAGAAAAAAACAACCCTGTCAAAAAGTGGGCAAAGGACACGAATAGAGAATTCTCAAAAGAAGATATACAAATGGCTGAACATGTGAAAAAATGCTCAACATCACTAAACTATCAGAGAAATGCAAATTAAAACCACAGTAAGACACCGCTTTACTCCTGCAAGAATGGCCCTAAAAAATAAAAAAATATTAGATGTTGGCATGGATGTAGTGGAAAGGGAACACGTTTATACTGCTGGTGGGAATGTAAACGAGTACAACCATTATGGAAAACAGTATGGAGGTTCCTTAAAGAACTAAAAGTAGAACTACCATTGGATGCAGCAATTCCATTACTTGGTATCTACCCAAAGGAAAAGAAGTCATTATACAAAAAAGACACTTGTACATGCATGTTTATAGCAGCACAATTTGCAACTGCAAGATGTGGAACCAACCTAAAATGCCCACCAACCAAGGAGTGGATAAAGAAATGTGGTATACATACACCATGGAATACTACTCAGTCATAGAAAGCAACAAAATAATGGCATTTGTACAACCTGGATGGAGTTGGAGACCATTATTCTAAGTGAAGTAACACAGGAACGGAAAACCAAGCATCTTATGTTCTCATTTATAAGTGGGAGCTAAACTATGAGAATGCAAAGCATAAGAAGGATGCAATGGACTTTAGGGACTCAGGGAGGGGGGAAGGACTGGAGTGAAGTGAGGGATAAAAGAATACACATTGGGCATAGTGTACACTGCTTGGCTGATGGGTGCACCAAAATCTCAGAAATCACCACTAAATAACTTTTCCAAGTAATCAAAAACCACCTGTTCCTCAAAAACTATGGAAATAAAAAATTTAAAAATAAAATTAAATAAAATGGTTTCCCTTTTCTTGATGCTTGAGAAGGAAGAAATTCAATGAAACAGATTACCTTTCTTCGCTGCAGGAGGTGTGGGGAATAAGGGAAGAGGGCCACCAATGTAGTGTAAATGGCTTTCAAAATTTTATACCAATTCATGAAAAATTTCTCAAGAAAACATGGAATAAAAGGGAATTTCCTAAACATGATATAAAGGTTACATACTAAAATTCTACAGTTAACATTATACTTACCAATGAAAAAATATAATGCCATAAGTATTGGCACACGTAAGTACTTAACTTGGTCCCTGCTTGCCTAATAAGCCTCACCTCATACCACTCTCTCTGACCCTCTTGATTCCATTCTGCTTACCTTCTAGTTCTGTGTTTATTCCATGTATTGTTTCCTCTGCCTGCAATACTCCCCTTGCTGTCTACCCTTGTACTTAAACTTGTCTAGCTTACTCCTCTTTTTTCCCTTCAAGGGAAGCTAACATGGCACTTCTTGGAAGCCTTCCATGATCCCTCATACCTATTTTATATCTACTCATTATCTTACAGCATAGTTCATCTGTAAGTACTTGCGGTATAATAAAAATACATATATTTGGCCTTTGTCTTAGGTTTCCGGCATACAGCTCCTAAAACAAGTGGAATCTCCTGAGTGATGAGAGTGTCTTTTGCAAGAGAATAAGATGACTGGTGACTGGAGACCCCTAGGTAGCTTCAGCATGGGAGCTGGGTGTCAGAAAGACCAAGCAATGGTTACAGGTTTGGAACTTTCAGCCCCATCTCCCAACCTGTGCAGAGGGGAGAGGGGCTGGAGATTGAGCTCAATCATAAACGGCCAATAATTTAAACAGGCATGACTACATAATGAAACCTCCAAAAAAACCTGTTAATGGTGGGGTTGAGGAGTTTATGGGTTAGTGTAGATACTGATGTGCTAGGAAGGTGCTAGGCCCAGAAAGGGCATGGAATCTCTACCACTCCTCATCCCCCTCCCCAACCTTGCCCTATGCATCTCTTCCATTTGGCTCTTCCTCAGTCGCACCCTTTATAATAAATTGGTAAATGTAAATAAAGTGTTTCCTGAGTTCTGTGAGTCATCCTAGTGAATTATGGAACCCGAGAGGGGGTCATGGGGACCACTGAATTTGCAGCCAAGTCAGACAAAAGTAGGTAGCCTGAGTACTTTGTGACTGGCATCTAAAGTGAGGACTGTCTTACGGAACTGAACCCTTAAACTATGGAGTCTCTAACTCTAGGTAGTATTAGAATTGAACTGAATTGGAGTCAGAAAAAACTTGAGAGTACTTAGTTAAAAATCCTTTTATAATTTCATTGACTGTAAACTCTGCAAGACAAGACCATGTTTGCCTTGTCTACCATTGTATCCCTAGGCACCAGGCAAGAGCCTATCACACTGTTCAATACAAGCTTGAGGAAGGTATAAATGGAAAGGCTACCACTGGAGAGTAGAAATTCTACATTGTTATCTGGAGAGATGTTAGTCACGAGGTTTTCTCAGGCTTTGCTTCTAATACAATGCTGACGGCCGATGAAACAAAAAGAGAGGCCAGGTGCGGTGGCTCATGCCTGTAATCCCAGAACTTTGGGAGGTCGAGGCAGGTAGATCACGAGGTCAGGAAATCGAGACCATCCTGGCTAACACAGTGAAACCCTGTCTCTACTGAAAATACAAAAAGTTAGCAAGGCGTGGTGGCATGCACCTGTAGTCCCAGCTACTCAGGAGGCTGAGGCAGAATGGCATGAACCCAGGAGGTGGAGCTTGCAATGAGCCGAGATCACACCATTGCACTCCAGCCTGGGCAACAGAGCGAGACTCCATCTCAAAAAAAAAAAAAAAAAGAAACAAAAAGAGAAAAGTAACAAGCCCAACTTTTCACTATGTGATGTGAGGGCCAACTATAGGATAGGGTAGCACAGAGGAAGGAACGGGAAGCCGAAAATATGATACTACTGCAAAGAGGAAGTATAGCTGAGTAGAGCACAATGATCAAGTCCCAGTCCCAGTAACTTCTCCACATTGAACCCCTTGTGTTGTCAAGCTCTGTTCTCCTAAAAACTATCAAGTGGTAGAGTTCAAATTCTGCTCCACTGCCTGCTTTAAAAAAAAGGCTGTAAAATACATAAAATTATCATCTAGTCCAGCAGTCAGACTCCAAAGGCAGTGAAAGAGCATATGTGCATATACCTTGTCCATCATCAGCCCTACTTAAAAGTCATAATTCTGCACTCTTATCATGTAGGTATTCATTGGCACTTGGAAGTATTCAGTCGTACTTGCTGGGCTGTTACTCTGTCAAAGGGTCTTAAAAACAGGCTCATGTGTGTACACCTCATCTGTCCAACTAGATCTTCAGCCTTTTAAAGGCAGAAAATGTCATCTGTTGCTCTCAAATTCATGTTTGTTCTGTACTGAGTAGAGAGGAGAGGCTCTTCAAACACTAAATAGGACTGAAAAGAACACTTCATGTACCCAATACCCATCAGGTAAATTTGTTGAGACCTATGGGAACCAAAGAAAATGAAAACCAGGCCCAAATGACATTGGTAAGAAAAGACCATCTCCATTTTGCCACGAAAACAAGTCTTACCTGTGATGGGGTTATCCTTCCCTTTTTAATTTCAGATGAATTTTCACTGAGTTTTCCTACTTTGTTACTTGAGCTGCATTTGTAGCATGTCCATCTTGTTTGGCCCTCAATTTCCATGGTGCATTCTTTGTTTTGAAGGCAGAATGAGTGATACAAATGGCCACAGCTGCAAAATGAAGGCAACGAATGTGTTCTTTTTATTATCACAAAATCCATAAACATAAGCTTGTAAGTGTACTGAGAAGCAATAAAAATATCTAACAAGTAGAAAGGCACTGATGGCTGTACAGGGTAAGAAACAAGAAAGGGAATGTACTTGCTGCTGTCCTCTCTTTTTAAAAATCCACATTCATATATTTGTATACTTATGTTGTGAGTACAAACAAATCACCGTTCTCTGACTACAAACTACTCAAAGGATGAGTTGAACTTCTGTTCATTTACCAAACTATGAAATCGGATGGCATTTTCAGATAGTCTGAAAAAAATGCAACGGGGGGCTGGGCATGGTGGCTCATGCCTGTAATCCCAGCACTTTGGGAGGCCGAGGCGGGCAGATCGGCTGAGGTTAGGAGTTTGAGATCAGCCTGGATAACATGATGAAACCCCATCTCTACTAAAAATACAAAAAATTAGCCGGGTGTGCTGGCAGGTACCTATAATCCCAGCTAGTTGGGAGGCTGAGGCAGAAGAATTGCTTGAACCCAGGAGGCAGATGTTGCAGTGAGCCAAGATCGTGCCACTGTACTCCAGCCTGGGTGACAAGAGCAAAACTCTGTCTCAAAAAAACAAAAAACAAAACAAAACAAAAAAAACAAAAAATTAGCCAGGTGTGGTGGCACACACCTGTAGTCCCAGCTACTCAGAAGGCTGAGGCATGAGAATCGGTTGAACCCAGGAGGCAGAGGTTACAGTGAGCTGAGATTGCGTCACTGCGCTCCAGGCTGGCAGACAGAATGAGATTCCATCTCAAAAAGAAAAAAAAAAAAAATTTAAAAAGGCAACTGGAAAAAATCGTAACTATTTAAGTAGCTTGATAACATGAATGGTCTGATCACCAAATTCAAGGCAAGGGTTGTGATTTGATTAAACATTTACAAAAATGTCACTGCTGTAGTAAATCCTTACACTATTCATATAAAGAAATTCCCTACTGATTACATTAAATAACCAAATCAGCCTCCCAGAAGCTGAGTACTGAGAATAATTCTCAGCCATCTACACTGATTTGTCTTCATTTCTCTAACCTAAAATGTTGGACATTTCAGAAATCAATCCTTTTCTTTTCTATAGTCTTTATATTCTTTTTCTTTTTTCTTCCTATCTCTGTGTGTGTATGTGTGTTTGTGTGTGTATATATATATTAACTGATCCGTCTGCTTTCCCCCTTGATCTCTCTAGTCCTTTAACACAACAGTCAGAGTAATCCTTAAGACATAGGTCAGATCAAGTCACCGCCCCAGTCCTCAAAATCATCCAATGGCTTCGCATCTCAGAGTAAAAGTCTCACTTTCATTATAAAAATGAGTTAGACTTGGGCCAGCTCCTACATGATTTGGCCTCTGCTCCTCTGAAGTCTCTTTCACTGTCCCCTTCCTTGGCTGCTCAGGTGCCGCTAGCCTCCTCACTCACTACTCCTCAAGAATGCCAAGGCTCTCCTGCCTCATGGTCTCTGCACTTGGCTCCTCTGCCTGGTGTACTCTCTTCTGAGGTTGCATGGCCACTTCCTGTAGATCCCCTCAAATGTCATTTAAACAAGAAGGCTTTCCAGGCTACTCTATAAATTAGTAGCTCCCAACATTCCTTTTTCTCTATAGCATAGCTTGTTTTTATTCATGTAACTATTAATTATTTTTCTATTAATTAATTTTTAAGTTGTCTGTTCATAAGTCACCTTAACAGTAAGCCTTTCCCTGACCAACCTATATAAAATATGTGCACCCCCCACCAAACATTCTGTATCTCCTTTAACCTTTTTTTCCCCCGTGGTAGTTATCAGTATCTGGCATATACACTTGTTGGCTTATGGTCTATCCCTGACACTACAATGTAAACTCCATGAGGGTAGATCCTTTGTTTCATTCATCCTGTATCCTATCCCCTTGAATAGCAGCTCACATATAGCAGGTGCTCAATAAATATTTCTCGCCTGAATGGGCTCTTCGTGTGAAGAGAACTACTTCCTCTTCCAACCATCAAGTCTACCAATCTTCATGCAGAGCTAACACTCAGATAGTGCTTACTCATGCCAGGCACTGTTACAAGTGCCTTATATAAATCATTTCATTCAATCCTCACAAAACCCTAGGAGGTAGGTACTATTATCCTATTTACAGATGAGGAAACTAAAATATAAAGAAGTTAAATAACTTGCCCAAGGTCTCACAGCTGGCATGTAGCAGAGTCAATATCTGAACTCAGAAAGTTTGGCTCCATGGCCATATTTTTACCTCTATCCCTACATTCTAGATGAGCTGTCTTTGCTCCTGAGACCAACACCTTCATTCTGCACTAGGGTTCTTCTCTGCAATGTAGCTTAAATATCATATGCTGACAACTTATAAATTAAAATTTTCCAGTCTCAACACATCTCCAGATTTCTGACTTGAAGAACTGTCTAGCTGGCATCCCTACTTGATGTCTAAGAGTTCATATCAAACCTAACATGTGCAAGACGAAACTCCTGATTTCCCCACTTCCTTGTATCTTCTTCATCTTAGACAATGGTACATGTTTACCCAATTGCTCAGACCAAAGACTCATTTTTCTCTCATATTCCACATCTAATACACCAGCAAATTATCCCTACCTTTAAAGGATACTCAGAATCCAAACACCTCTCAGCACCCTTGCTCCTCCCTCTCTTGTTCTGCTCAAAGGTCACGTCCTCAGATATGCCATCCCTCATTCAATAGCACTTGTCCTGAACACGTCATCCTTCTATCCATTTGTCCTGCGTTCTGTTTTTCTCCAAAGCTCTTATTCCTCTGTATTTATGTCTCGCCTGGGCACCCCAACCTCCACCCCAATGCAGAATGTAAGGTCTGTGAGAGCAGGAACTTGCCTATCATGTTCATTGCTAGAATGACTGCCTGTCTGTGTATCCATGTGTATTCTTGCCTGGTAATGCCACAGATGTACGTGTACCATACATGTAACATTTATTTCCCTTTCTTACCTAAAGACAATAATTTCATCAGCCATTTCTTGGCGTCTCTTGTACTGCTGCAAACATATAGAGCAGTAATCTTGTTTGGGATTCAGTCCTCTGGTGACCGAAGCTCTCAGGTTACACAATGACCAATGGAGATCTTGGTTTAGAAGGCTAGTTGTTGTTTCCAGCAGGGTCTATGAAACAACAAAACAAAAAACAAACAAACAAAAGGTTATAAAATGAAAGAGATAGAGGAGATGGATGGTGAATAGCACTTGTTTAGTTTTCAACTACCAACAACTAAAATTGGAACACATTATAAAGGGATAAAATTGTTTAAACAAAAAAAAATCAAAACCTCACAAATTCAAGCGGTTAACCTCAATGTGCAGAGTAATGGTGAGTGTATACATTATGAGACTCTCAAGTCTGTCATTAGTTTCTACTGAGAAATGTGAGCTCTGCCATTCTGCAGTTTAATTCAGTATTGATGGCTTTCAAATGACTAGATAAGCCCAAATCTATTTATTACATTTATATAATAACTGCTCTCTGAATGGCTCAGAGTGTTGTAATAAAGAATACAGCTAAGTCTGAATCCCAGATTTTTTATTGAAACTGCATTCATGGTAATGTTTCAAATATCTTTTCACTAGTAAAGCTAATGGCCACTACTCCATTTTCATCTTCCTTGGGCAGAGAGATAACATTTTCCTGATCAGCACTTAGAAGTCATTTGCATCTACTCAAGACCACGACATCTATCATTAAGTCACATAAAGACATTTTAACAGCTATCACATTAAGTCATTTTAAGGCTCTATGTATTTATAAAGTATTGTTTTTGAACCATATCTCATTCTTAACATTGGTATATATCATCTGGCTATGTAGTTGGGTTCTTTTCTCTCAGTCCTGAAGGGGAAGATAGAGCTAGGTACTGCCTGCCCTCCTTGCTATACAGCTTAGCTCTTTAACTTCACCTGTAACGCAAAACTTTTCGTTCTAATAGTCTCATTCTTTCCAATCAGTATCACGTTTTTCTCCTCTTTCATAGTTCCAAAATTGGTAAACATTTTCTGCCTTGCACTCAACTTTACTTCTGCTAACGTGGAATCTGTGCCTGTAGGAGTATTAAGCTTCACTGGGCTACACATAGCCAAACTGCAATTCTTACAACATTCTAAGAAAAGCTGTCACCCAGATTTTCCTTTTTCTTCTCACAGATTCTTTAAAAAAAAGCAGACGTTGTCTCCAACAGACCTAAATGGTACTTTTCCTAGGTGGCTTCAGGAGTCACTTTGCAGTACACTAAGAAAAAAGCCCGTACACCAGACTGGCACTTACTGAGACTTAAAGCTAAAGACAATTTTGAGTTAAGGGAAGACTAATGACCATTTATGGTGATATGGTTTGGCTGTGTCCCCACCCAAATCTCATCTTGAATTCCCACGTGTGGTGGGAGGTAACTGAATCACGGGGGCAGGTCTTTCCTGTATTGTTCTCATGATAGCAAGTAAGTTTCATGAGAGCAGACAGTATTATAAGGGGGAGTTTCCCTGCACAAGCTCTCTTATCTGCCGCCACGTGAGATATGCCTTTCACCTTCTGCCATGATTGTGAGGCCTCCCCAGCCACATGGAACTGTAAGTCCAACAAACCTCTTTCTTTTGTAAACTGCCCAGCCTTGGGTATGTCTTTATCAGCAGCATAAAAACGGACTAATACAATGGTTAGTGACAACTATCTGTTTCAGAATGTTTAAAATAATACTCATTTAATTTTATTTTGCAATTTTCTATATTCATGTTGACCCTTCCTTTTCATGTGGTATAGCTTTGTACTAAATTATTTTTCCAGAAAGTTTGTCATACTTTCGTTTTGAAAAAAAAGATACTTGTTTCATTGTGAATGAATTAAACTAAATTTGAATTAGACGCATTTCTACATTCTGAAATGTGTGTGTGTGTACACAAATCAAGGTCAAGAGTTTTTTTTTTTTTTTTTTTAGAGATAGGGTCTTGCTCTGTCACCTGGCGCAATCATAGCTCACTGCAGCCTCCAACTCCTGGGCTCAATTGATCGTCCTGAGTAATTACAATTATAGGCACATGCCACCATGCCCAGCTAATTATTTTTATTTTTTGTAGAGACAGAGTCTTGCTATGTTGCCTGGGCTGGACTCGAACTCCTGGCCTCAGGCAATCCTCCTGTCTCAGTCTTCCAAAGTGCTGGCATTACAGGTATGAGCTACCATGCCTGGTGAGAGAAATTAAAAACTGAAATAAATATACACACATACACCTCAGTCTACTTAATTGCCAGTAAATAGATGGTAACTTTTTTTTTAAGTATAGGTACAAAAGAAAAGAAAATAGCATTTTTCTACCTTAGGACAGACTTAGATGTAACAAGTAGCTTACTTACTTGTTCATAGTTAAAGGTATCTAACATTCCCAGAATAAGTCCCTGGATTTCTCCAAGTTTTCCTTTTCCATAAACTGGATCCTAATTAGAAAAAAATATAATTCTGTTATAATTCTGTATTTTAAAATTACTTTAAAATGTTAAGTTATCTGAAAAAGCCAAATGCTTTTAAGTGTTTTTCTACAGTCACAAAATATTTATTCTTCCACGAATGTTCCACTGGAAATGTACCATAGTCTTCCTCTGATCATCTCAAATATTTTTGAAAAACAAAATTTAAATTACCCAAGCCCCTTTCTTAACAATCCTTGCAAGTCTAATTAAACTTTACTTTTATTTTGTTTCTGCAAGAAGCTTCCTCTCCTTCATATAAAACAGCAACTCTCCCTCTTTGCACTCTTATTTATCTGTTACATTAAAACCAGTGTACTCAGGAATACCCAGAATCTGTCCAGCAACTCCTCCTGTGATCCCATTTAGCCACCTCCTGCCCCTAACCAACTAAATCGCACCAGTTTTGGAGACAAACACGTTCTGAGAAAACAGCTCTCAGTTTTTTGAAGTTTTTTTCAGTAAAGTCACTACTGATAAACAACAGATACCTAGATATCCAATGTTCCCTCCACTGCATTTCATATGAAGTATGCCAAGTAACTTGTTTATTATGTACATTTTGGAAACACTGAAGTGTACCAAAAAAAACACACACACACACACACACACAACAAAAAACAAAAAAATGAAAAACAAAAAAACAAAAAACCAAAAACCACACCGAAAACTGAAATCCAACCAGAGATAAACACTGTTGATATTCTGATGTATATTTCTCTAGTCTTGTTTCTGGGAGAGGTGAGAAAAGGAAGGGAAAGAGGGATATATTTTTTAGTGTATAAAATTGGAGTATTTTACAAAATATTTTTAACTCAATGGTGTATTGTGAGCACTTTTCCATACCATCAAATATTTCTTTTTTTTTCTCTACTCTTGTGACACATTACAAATATTTCTTAATAGGTACAGAATATAAATTATGTGAAAATATCATGTTTTATTCATTTTCTGCTTTGAACATTTCACTTTTCCCCTTTCCCAAACTCCAGCCACTATTATCAAATGCTAGTGGCTGCAAATCTCAACTGGAATCTCTGATTCTTTAGAGATTTCTAGACAGAAAACTATAGACTCAAAGGGCATTTTCATGGCTATCAATATATATTGCCAAATTGCTCTACCAAAGTTTATTTTAGGATTTTTATCCCCATCAGCATATGTATGTGCTCACTTCACTGACCTTTGGCTAGACTAATAATTTTAAAACTGTGAACACATGAGTCAAGTCTATTACTTTTCTCTAATATCAAGTTATATATGACATAAATGACTCTTTTCCATGCCAAATAGGAGAATCCAGCTACACAGTTGTGATAAAAGTAGTTGCTATTTTAAGTGAGTAGCATATGCCAAGTACAGTACTAAGCACTTTATGTTTACCACATTACTAAATTCCTTCAACAGGTTTTGTGAGTAAAGAAACTGAGGCTTAAAGAGGTTACAAAAACTTCTCTAAGTCACAAAACTATCAAGCAGATAAGATGGGATTTGAATCTAGGTACTTCAGAAATCATGCTTTTAATAACCACACTATACTGGTCTCCCAGGTATGGATACAAAAACTAATAAACTAAGTAATAAACTACTTCTTGCTTGAATATATGGGTTTCTAACACAGGTAACTAAATAATAAATTAATGATTGCTGGAAAACATGAGAAACATGTCTGGCTATTTCTTAGGGAGTCTTGGTACTGTTAAGAGTTAACTGTGAGTCCAGAAGGCAAAAAGGCCTATGGAAGCAGGAAAAACCTGTACAAGAATTGTCTCAGGATTTGCTTATTTTTCTCTTCTGGGTTCTAGTGATGGCTCTTGCAGAATAGGTCGTGCAGTTCCTAACTAAGATTGGTTTTCAGTGCTTTGAGTCTGTCTAGAGCAGCATGAGATTGTCTGCCAGAGGTTTCTTTGGCCTCTTCAACTGCTAGGGTTATGCTGAAGAAATCCAAGGCACAAAATAACTATGTGTAGTAATTATCAAATTAACAAGTTTGGGCTTGAACAAATCACTTAAGCTTAATAGAAAAAATTTCTATTTCACAGCTAGGGATCATATCACTAAGCTAAAGATATCTGTCAAATATGTGGAAATCATTTACAAAAGGCAAGATACAGATATCTCAGACTAGTCCTTCAGAGAAAAACAACTCAAAGCCATATACCCACTGGACAATTTTTTCTTTTTATTTTCTTTGCATAAAAATAGACCCTTGTTAATGCTTAATTATACATTTGGTCAAGTTCTTAATAAGTACACATTTGCCAAATATCAACAGATGGTACAATATCTTATTAGAAAACTCTATTAAAATATTTACTATAATATGTGGATCCACTATGACACTAGAGCTCTGGCATGTGTTTACAACAAAGGTGGTTTGGAGAACAAAGAGGTCTTAAAAGGTTAAATTTTGGGAAAAAGAAATCTTTATAGGTCATTTCTATATTTATGTCAGTACATTTCACTGTAATATACATAATTTAAAAGCAAAATCATGAAAACAATCTCATGTTGCGACAACATATAAATTATAGAATGCAAAAGGGAGCTCAAAGCTTCTAGCACAGCATGCACCAAACCACTAGCTCTTCAAATTATTTTCCAAAGATGTCAGCTAGATTCTTCAGCAATGAATAAATGCTGAGGTTTCTCTTAAGTTGTTTGCAAACTATGAAGGAAGAGCATACTTGGTTACCCATGTAAATGTGTTTTTCAAGACACACACTAGAAAAGATGTGATGACCACTTTTTTTTTCCTATTGCTTTCTGGTACCTACTGTATCATGTATGTGTATGTTTAAAATAAAAATCTTTATTAATTGAGCACTGCTTTAAAATATCAATGATGCCCTAAACAGGAGAGTCTATAATTTGTTTGCCTTTCCTCAGTGAGAAAGTAATAAACAGCTTCTCAGAAGCTAAAAATTACTTCTGCCATAGAGTGAAGATAGAATGTATACAACATAAACACAGTCTTTAAAATGTTATCACCTAATATTCATAAAAAAAGACGGTGTAATTTGGGTCCCAGGCATCAGTCTGAATAAACACGTGAAGATCAAGATCTGTAAGAACCTGTTATCATGTGACCACTTCTTTTGGAAAAACTAATTTTTTCAGTTGTATCTGAGCAATTGTGCATCTAAGTAACTGCTGTTCCCTACATTTTTCAGTGGGGATCTGATAAAGTGAGGTGGGCATGAGAAACGCCTTGATTAGTGTTAGATACAGAAGAAAAGCCCTAAAACTTGAAGTTAGTAGACCTGGATTAATTCTAATGGCTCCCATTTCAAAACTGAATAAACTAAGACAAGTTATTTGATCTTTCTGAGTGGCACTTTTCTCATGAGAGATATGAGGTATTGCTACATCCCCAGCTTAATTTGCACAGTTAGAGATCAAAGAAGATAATGAATACTAAAGTGATTTGTAAACTGTTGAGAACTATACAAGGACATTAGGTGAGGGAGTCAACTAATATTTAATGGGCATATACTATGTTTTAGGCACGGCACTGGGTGTTGTAGATAACATAGTGAACAAGGGAGACATGATCTCTGCTTTTATAAAACTCACAGCCTAGGGGGTAAGCTAATATGAAGGTAGGGCTCAAAAAGAGTTTATATTTACAGGTGTGACTGGGGCTGCGGTAAGGGTGAAAAGGCAAGGAAGAAAAAACTTAGCTCCTAAAATATTCTAGGAGATAGAGTAGAGAGGATTTGACGTGCATTAAACACCGGGACTGCTGAGGAAAATAATGAGGAATTCTAACACACAGTTAAGGAAGAAATTATACAAACTGTCTACAATCTATTTCAGAAAACAGAAGCAGGTGGAACATTTCTTTTCTTTTTTTTTTTTTTTTTTTTGTAGACAGAGTCTCGTTCTGTCGCCCAGGCTGGAGTGCAGTGGCACAGTCTCGGCTCACTGCAAGCTCTGCCTCCTGGGTTCATGCCATTCTCCTGCCTCAGCCTCCTGAGCAGCTGGGACTACAGGCGTCTGCCACCACGCCCGGCTTATTTTTTTTTATTTTTAGTAGAGATGGGTTTTCGTCGTGTTAGTCAGGATGGTCTGGATCTCCTGACCTCATGATCCGCACGCCTCGGCCTCCCAAAGTGCTGGGATTACAGGCGTGAGCCACCGCGCCCGGCTAAGGGAACATTTCTTAACTCATTCTCTGAGGCCAGCATCACCCTCATACCAAAACCAGCCACAGACATTACAAGAGAGGAAACTATATGAACAGATGCAAAAATTCTCAACAAAATATTAGCAAATTGAATCCAGTAATGTATAAAAAGAATTATACATAACAACCAAGTGGGATTTATCCCAGGTATGCAAGGCTGGTTCAACATTTAAAAATCAATTAATCGGCTGGGTGCAGTGGTTCATGCCTGTAATCCCAGTACTTACGGAGGCAGAGGCGAGAGGATGGCTTGAGCCCAGGGTGAGACCCGCTTGGGCAACACAGCAACACCCCGTTCTCCACAAAAAAAGAAAAAAAAAAAAGACAAGAAAAATAAATTACTGTAATCCATCACATCAACAGGCTAAATAAGAAAAATCACATGATCATATTAGTAGATGCAGAATTTGTAATTGATAAAATCTAACGCCCACTCATGACAGACAAACTGTGAGCAAACAAGAAAGGGAGGGACACTTCCTAAACTTGATAAACAACATTTATAAGAACCTTACAGCTAACATCATACTTAATGGTGAGAAACCAGATGTCTTTCTTCTAAGACAGAAAATAAGGAAAAGATATCCCCTCTCACCACTCCTATTCAACATTGTACTGGAAGTTCTAGTTACAGCAATAAGACAAGAAAAGGAAATAAAATATATACAGATTGGGAAGGAAGAAATAAAACTGTCTTTGTTTGCAGATGACATGATTGTCTAAAAAAACCTGAAACAATTAAGTGATTGTAGCAAAGTTACAGGATACAAGGTAATTATAC